ACTTCCCTCCCTCCCTCCCTCCCTCCCTCCCTCCCTCTCTTCACAACCTTCTTTCCTTCTGCATTCGCTATCGCACCCTCGGGAGGTAATTGAGACAACAGCTGAACTCGGCGAGTCAGCTCCTCGTCTCTCAGTACAACACGTTGGGGATGCTGAAACTCCAGGTAGATGCGCAGCTTCCTTGCTCCCTCTTTCCCCCTTCTTCTACCAACTTCATCACCTTCGTACCCTCATCCTCCCATAGGCGGGCAGCCATGCTGAAGCCTTCCAGCTCCTCGAAAAGGTCTCAACTGCCCCTTCCTCCTCTGCGTCTTCTCCCGATCCCCCAGCACCAGCCTCCTTTCCTTCCGCCTACTGTCTGCATCAGTATCCCCATCCCTCCTCTTCTTGCTCTCCTTCTCTCCTGCTGCTTTCTCTCCGTCTCGTCCAGTGCTTTTCTTCTCGCGTTGCTGATTTCCTCTCCTCTTCTCCCTCCCCTTTCCTTGCTCTTCTCGTCTCTCCCTCTCCTTCCTCTCTTCCCTCCCTGGCTCTGGTTGGTGTCGTCACTTGTGCTGCACAGGCTCTGTCTCTCACCGAGTCTCCTCCTCTCTTTGCTGACAAAGAAAGCCGACTGAGAATGAAAGCTGTCTCGGTGCCTGGGAGGAGGGAGCGAGAGAAGAGGAGGGAGCGAGGGAGCGAGAGAAGGGGAGGGAGGGAGGGATGGGATGAGGATTATAGTATGGGCTGACGGGATAGTGCAGTTGAACAACTTGGGCTGCTTCTACAAGAGCAGGAGGAAGTGGCATTCAGCGTTGAGGTACCTGGAGCAGGTGAGGACCAGACAGGAGTTTCTTCTTCTCCTCACCCTCCTCAGGCTCTTCGATTGGAACTCATGCTGGACTCTTCGCCCGGACCTGCTGGAACAGTACATTCCTTCTCGTCCCTCCTTCTTCTATCCTCTCCCTCGTTTCCCTCGCTCCTCTTCCTCCTCCCTCGCTCTGCATGCTCTTCGTCTCACTCTTCCCTCAGCATCTAAACCTCTGTGTCGTTCTCTCCCACCTCCGTCAGCATCATGCAGCCCTTGCACACGCGCTCGCCGCCGTCCAGGTGAGGAGGGCAGGGGGAGGTGGAGGAGGCATGCGAAGTGACGGCTGAGGATAACGAGGAGGAGAGAGGAGGAGAGCTGAGGAGAATGTTGCAGATGATGTCTGTCGGTCTCGAGGAGGAGCAGGAGGAGGAGGAGGAGGAGGCAGCGGTGATCCGCCTGGCGGCACTCTACAATGCTGGCGCTCAGTACGAGGCGATGGAGCAGCTGGAGGAGGCGAGCAGGATGTACGAACAGGTACGAAGAGTGAGGGAGTTGTGGGGGGAGGACGGGGGGGGCATGGCTGGGACTAGATCGAGAAGGGTAGAGAGGGAGGGAGGGGAGGAGGACGAGGACGAGGAGGAGGAGGAATCTGAGATGTTTGAAGGCTTTCGAAGTGTCCAAGAAGCTCTGGGGAGAGCATCATGCGAAGAGTCGAGCGATGAGATGCGCTGCTGATGAAGTAAGCTCTCTGAACTCTGTGCTTCCTTTGTACCCTCTTCCTCCTTCTTCCCTTCTCGTCCCCCTCCCTCTCCTCCTCCCCTCTCGTCGCCTCTTCCCTTCCTCACGTCTTTCTCTTAGACTCGGCAACGTCTTTCCCGGTCGGACGTTCGTCTGCCCTCCATCGGCACTCAGACATCTCAGAAGAGGAGCGGCAGGGGAAGCGGAGAAGCGATAGAGGGGAAGGGAGGGAGAGAGAGGAGAGCGAGTGAGAGAGGAGCGAGTGAGAGAGGAGGTGGAGAGAGCGAGAGAGTGGGAGCTCACTTTGTCTGGCGTGAGGACGTCTCCTCGTCTGCGGCTCATCGCAGGGAGGAGGGAATGCGCTTCTCGTCTCCTCCTCGACGTGGCCCGAGGACCCCCAGGACCCGCGGGCTTGTGCGGAGGAGCAAGCTTCTCCCTCAGCTACACGACGGTACCGCCTTCATGGTGATCAGCAGCGACGAGCAGAGGAGAAGCGCGAGGAGGATGCGAGTAGCTGCTGAGGTGGAGGAGAGGAGGTGGCTGCTGGAGCGAGTGATGGGAGCGGAGGAGGAGCTGGCAGCAGTTCGATCTTCTCTCCTCCTCCAACAGCCTCCGGCGACCCGCTGGCTGAGGGTGCGAGTGAGGCACAAGGAGGAGACGAGGCTGCTGCTGCTGCGAGAAGAGACGAGCATCGAGCAGCTGCTACAAGACATCGCAAGAGAATTCTCCTTCCACTTCTCCTTCCAGCTCTTCCTCATCAAGCAAGATGGAAAGGTTCAAGTCCATCCCCCCCCCTTCTTCTTTTCTCCTTGTCTTGCCCCCCCCCCTTTGCTTCTATTCGCTCGCTTGCTCTCTCGCCTCTACTTGCCGCTGGACTGACACGAGAAAGCAGAAGACTTTACTGCAAGGTCGGGAGGAGCTGGAGGAGGCGAAGGCGAAGGCGCGAGAGGAGAGAGAGAGGAGAGGAGAGGAGGCGGAGGAAGAGGACGGCAGAACCGAGGAGCTGTTGGAGATCACGCTGTGGGTGAGAACAAGCCTCGACAAGGAGCGAGAGGAAGCAGAGGAAGCTGCAGCTCGAGCCGAGAAGGAGAGGATGGAGATGGAGGCGGCAGAGGTAGGAGGAGGTCGAGGAGAGGAGGCACTAACGGACTCGCAGGCAGTGTGGGAGAAGGAGAGGAGAGAGGCGGAGGAGGCAGAAAAAGCAGCAGAAAAAGAACGGGCGGCAGTAGAGGAGAAGGAGAAGATGCTGCTCAAGGTGCGAGACAAACTCCTACTGCCACTCCGCATGAGGCAGCGAGCAGGAAGAGGAGGAAGCGATCGCCGCGGAGGAGGAGGTGCAGTCGCTGCTGGAGGAGGTGAGTGTGAGCGAGGAGGAGAGAAGGGTAACATGGAGCTGCAGGAGGAGAGGAGGAGAGCGAAAGCTGCAGGGATGCGAAAGAAGTCGGAAGAGCTCATTGCAGAGCTGACGCAAAGAAACCAAGGAGAGCGAGAGAAGGAGGACGAGGAGGAAGGTGAGGGCGGGAGGAAGAGAAGGGAGTGGGAGGGCGGAGGGGCAGTGTCAGGAGAGGCTGAAGGGGGGGAGGCGGGGGGTGTGGCTGACGCATCGCAGCTTGGAGGAAGTATGACGAGGCTCTGGAGGAGCTGCGAGCTGCTGAAGCTGAGGAGGCGGAAGCAGAAGGGAGGAGGAGGCAGGTGAAAGGTACAAGTGCAGAGAATGAGACGATGACAGTGAGCAGGCGGAGGAAGTGGCGAGGAGGGAGAGAGAAGAAGCGGAGGCAGCGAGGCAGGAAGCTGAGCAGCAGCGTGTCAAGGCGGAGGAGGCGGAGAGAGTGGCAGAGAAGGAGCGTGCGGAGATGCAGGAGGCGGAGGAGGAACTGGCGCGAGAGCGGAGGGAGTTTGAAGCAGCCAAGGAGGAGGCGATGAGGTGAGGGAAGCGGCAGGGCAGCAGCAGCTGACACAAGGGCAGAGAGCAGCGCGAGTACGAGCAAGTGCTGGAGCAGCAGCAGCAGCAGGTGACTTGGCAGCGACTCGGAAGGGGAAGTGACCTTGCATGCAAGGCACATCCTCTCGAAGCTGCGCAGGCTGCGAGGGAGGAGGGGATGGCCACGCGGATCAGAGCAGGTGACGTTATCAGAGCAGGTGACGTCATCAGAGCAGGTCACGTTATCAGAGCAGGTTACGTTGGGATGAAGACGAGGAGAGGGACGAGAGAGGAGCGAGAGAGAAGGAGAATGAGGCTCGAAGAACTCGCCGCCTCCCTCCTCGTCTCCAACTCGCGAGTCTTCCTGGCGCGAAGGCAAAGGAAGCGACTTGTGCGAGCAGTGCGGGAGGAGGAGGAGCTGCGATCGGCGCTGGTGCTGCAGAAGAGCTTTCGAGGTCACGTCGGGAGGCGACTGTTCGAAGAGCAAAGAGAGGAGGTTGAGAGGAGGAGGAAGGGACGAGCAGCAGGAGAAATTCAGCGGGTTTGGCGAGGAGGGAAGGAGAGGAGGAGGGCGCGAGGGGAGGAGGGGAAGGAAGAGAAGGCCGGCCTGTTTCTCCATCGCTTCTGGTTCGAAGGAATCGAAATGCCTCCGCTGGACCTCCAGCTGGCCTACGAGCAGACGAGAGGAGGAGGAAGAGAAGCGAGGAAGACCCGACTAATGCAGCTCAAGAAGCTCCACCATCAGGTGCCCCCCCCCCCCCCCCCCCCCCCGCCTCCTCCTCCTCCTCCTCCTCCTCCTTCGCTCCAACCAGCACCATCGCATCCTCATCCTCTTCATCATCCTCGCTAACTCGCATGTAGATGTGCCTTCAACACACGTCGCTACATGCTCGTGACCTCAGCGGCTCGTCGCCTCCTCGCGTTCTCCTCCGCCTCTACCGTCATCGCCTTGAGCTCCATCGGGTCGCCGCTATGCTCGCGGTCCTGACGCGCAGGAGCAGCTCGCGCCTCCCCGTCGCTCCTCTCCTTCTCCAGGCCCCCGACGTTCCCGTCCTCCACGACGACGGCAGCTCCTCCTTGCTGCACGTCCTCGTCCTCCCCGCAGTCGAAGAGACAATGAGTGCGGCAGTGAAGCGAATTCGAGCGAAGGAGGAAGGAGGAGAAAGGGAGGAGGAGAGTGAGCAGGGCACGAGGAAACAGCAGGAGCAACTTACAGATCTCATCCTTGTCGTCGCGTCCTCCCTCGAATTCCTGCATGACCACAAGATCGTGCTCGGACGGGTGCAGGCGGACAGCTGGGGATTCAGTCAGGGGCGATGGCTTCTCTTCGACCTCGATGGTAACCCCGCGCACATCTCCCTCCTCCCATCCTCACTCGCACTCCAGTGGCGCACAAGGAAGGAGAGCTGCTCGATCATCGAGCCTGGGACCTGCTGGACTATCGAGTTCCTGAGGTGAGCGGGAAGAGACGAGGGGGAGGAGGAGGCAGAGAGGGAGGAAGGGGAGCTAACAGCGGGTCAGCTGCAGGAGGCACGAGAGAGGAAGGAGCTTCACAGGTTGTGCGCGCATCCCTCGCAAGACGTGTTCCTCGCCGGAGCTCTCTTCTACGAGTTTCTCTTTGCTCGCTCCATCCCAGAGGGTGTCGAGGACGCGGGGGCGGGGGCGGGGGTCTGTGACGCCATCATGAGGTGGGTGCAGGAGGAGCTAGTCTTGTCTCACTTTATTTTACAGCTACATACTGAGCAACTGCCTGACAAGAACGGCAGCTGATCGCTTCTCCAGCAAAGATATCCTCAAGGCCCTCGAGCTACGAGCCTCAGCCTCATGACCTCCTCCTCCTCCTCCTCCTCCTCCTCCTCCTCCTCCTCCTCCTCCTCCTCCTTTCTTTCATTTCCTTCCTTCTACCTCCTTTCTCCCTTCCCCCGGTCCAGATGGCAGGCACGAGGCTCTCAGGGGAGAAGGCAGACCTGGAGGGGGTGGGAGGCGCGGGCGAGAAGGATGTTGGTCTCCTGCTGGATGCGCATCTCCATCTTGTCGTTGTAGCATAAATTCCTCAGCGTCTGCACCGCACAGTCTCTGACCGTCTGCTCGTGCCCGTGCTGCTTGATCGCCTCCTTCAGCACCTCCACCCCTCCTGCCCGGATGACGCGAAGTTTACAGCTCTCTCTCTCTCGCGAGAGGCTGTAGAGGAGGATGCAGCCGAACTTGTGGATGTCCAGGCAGCAGTCAGAAGTCATTAGGAGCAGCACGGCTTCGACTCCCTTCCTCCGCACAAGCTCAACGATGCTCTCGTCCTCCTGCTTCACCAGGTTGCACAAGGCAGCGAGGGAGGAGGCCTTCGTCGCAGCTGCTTGAACTCGAGGAAGAGACTTGAGGATGCGAGCGATTCCTTTCCTCTTGACGATTTCTGCTCGCACGTCATCGTGGAAAGCAAGGTTGCGAATGAGACTGAAGAACTGCTCCAGCGTCTCATCGCTCCAGCCTCCTCGCTTCTTTCCTCCTTGCCCTCTCAGCAGCTCCAGCACCACTGGCACCACACCCTCGCGCGCGATGTCCACGCAGACGTCCTTGCTGACGGCTGCGACGTTCTTGAGGGTCCAGCAGGCGTAGCAGACAATAGTCTCGTTGTGGGCGAACCTTGTCATGGCCCTTACGATCACTTCCACTCCTCCGCTGGCTACGATCAGACAACTGCTGGCCCCGTCGCATGCGAAGCTGCACAGAGCCCACAAGCCCTTCTCCTGCACCCTCGCGTCCTCCTCGTGCACTTGCAGGCAGCGGAGGACACACTGAACTCCGCCATGCTCGACGATGTAGCTGCGGATGGAGTCGTCGTTCATGTTGCAAAGGAACCAGCAGGAGTTCTCTTGGATGAGGGGGGAGCTGGTGTGGCGAGACATGACAGACAGCAGCGGGCTCACGTATCCCTTGCAGCGCTCGAAGTCGATGTTCAAGCTCAGGTTGATCAGCGCTCCTATGGCGTTCTCCTGCACAGGCGCCACCTCCTCGTGGGTATGCATGAAGTCGAGGAGCATGTCGGCGGCGCGGGAGGCGATGATGTCGTTGCGGTAGTCGGGCTCGGCCGAGAGGTTCCACAGCAGCCCGAGGGAGTGCACGACGACGTTGAGGTGCTGCGAGCTCTCCTCCATCAGCTGCACCAGGGCACGGTGAGTCCCCAAGCTCAGCATCTCCTGCCTGTTGTCAGCGTTGCGCGACAGGTGCCATAGGATGAAGCTGCATCGCCCCATCGCCCCCATGTCCTCCCGGCACTCCTCCAGCAGCCTGCAGAACTGTCGCGTGCAGCCCGAGGTGTGAACGAAGGAGTAGATGCAGTGTAGGCGGTGCCATGGCTCTCCTTTCTCCTTCTCCATGTCCTGAAACTCGCTGCGAGAGAAGAAGGGGCAGGTGGAGAGGAAGGCATCGAGAAGAGCAGTCACGCTCTCACCATTGTTGCACTGCTCCAAGGAAGAGGAGATCCGGGAGATGCCTTGCAAGATGTTCGAGTCTTCCCAGTCCAAGTGCTCGCCCGTCCTATTCTTCGCCTTCAATTCTGCTGTCATCGCATTCACGCGGTTTCAACCTCCTGACAATCCGCCAGTCAGTGAGCGTGTGGAGTCATCGACTGAAAAAGCTCATCCCTTGCTAGAGCTTGCTGGGCACTAATTTCTTTCCTTCCACATGCACTCCGATCATTGTCCACCATCCCTCTTCCTAATCTCGCCTCTGTTTTTGTTCTTATCATCTTCTCCTCTCCACTCCTCTCCACTCCTCTCCACTCCTCTCCACTCCTTCACATGTTGTGTTCTTCACCTCCCCTCACCTCGACTCGTCTACTCTCTGGTTTATCGTCAAAAATCACTTATATCCCTCCCCTCCTCCCCTTCTTTCCTCCCTTCTCTGCTCCTTAGCTCCACCTTCTATCCTTCTTTTATCCATCTCCAATCTATCTCGTCTCGTATCGTATCGTCTCGTCTCGTCTCGTCTCGTCTCGTCTCGTCTCGTCTCGTCTCGTCTCGTCTCCTCTCCTCTCCTCTCCTCTCCTCTCCTCTCCTCTCCTCTCCTCTCCTGCTCTCTCGCTAGCATTCTCGTCCAGGTTCACTTCACGCTCAAAAAATCGAATATAAACGACTCCCGCGAGTAGTCGTAGACCCACCCCTGTTTACCACCTTTAGTACCCTACCCCTACCTGCATTACATCCCTTGAACCACTCACCCCCTTCATGCTAAACCCCACCCCCAATTTTACTGAATACTACCCCCTCCTTTCAGGTCTATATCTGGGGGAGCAAACCACCTTTCATACCACCCACCCCATCCATGAAGCTCAACCCCCGACGGGGTCATCTACACCTACCTTGGAAGATCAAATTACCTCCACCCCATTTCTGTATTTTTGACGGGGGGGTGGGGGTACAAACGATGCGATCTCGTAGCCTTTTAGGTCCCCTACGATCCCTGCAAGGAAACCAGAAGCATGGTGGGGTAGTTCAAATACGTATCAATAGGGGTACTTACTATATTCAAAAGGAGGGTCCACAAAGCCATGGGGTACGTATGGAGGGTGGGGTGATTACGTACAATATGAGGAGTCGCGCTTGTGGGTGGGTGAAACAGTACCACAGTCGATATCAAAACGAGGGGTGTAGACAGGGAGGGGTGGTTACAGACGGCATTCATGGGGTGGGGGTGGTTTCAATGATATTGCGGCCGAAGTTGACCTGCATCACTGCGGCCGCAAGGCTGCTGGTTTTTTTTTTCCCTTGGAATGAGCTACCCCACTTTTTGATGGGATAATGGGGGTAGTGAGAGTGGAAGCAGGTAGGGTGGGGTATTCACAGAGTACATCTCGTAGTCTATCAGTTTTACAGAACTTCGAACATCATCATTACAACTTTTAGTTAACGCCGGTTGACCGCCATGGCCTCAGCGGCTGCCGCTCGCCGGTCACCGTACGGGGGCCCATGGCCCATCCGGCCGCCGCATTTGACTCAGTGAACCCGGCATTCCCGGCGCCGGCGGCCGCGCCGCCCGGGCCGGGGCCCACGCGGTCCTCGAAGGGCCGGGCCCGGGCTTCCAGGATTCAATCGTCAAGGGTGTTACTGGGTGCCAGTGACTGGCGCGGCGGGTGACCTGCCTCAGCCGAGGCTCAGCTCCTTGTCCGATCATCCCAGTGCCAACCCCGGGCCGCGGCGCGGCGTACCGGGGACCGTACTGAGCACTACTTCCCGCCGCATTTACCGCCGGGCGGCCGAAGTTGACCTGCCGCATGATCACTGCGGCCGCAAGGCTGCTGGTTTTTTTTCGCGCTTCTGAGCACTGATAGCACTAGCACTGCAGTGCTAGTTACTTTCGCGCTCGTTGCCCCTCGCAGGGCCGCCGCTCCGACGGTTCCTGACCGTACCTGGGTGCTGCTGACTCGGATCTTGGCTCGCCGAAACGCGGCCGGCCACCTACCAGCGCCGCCGCCTGAGTCACCACGCCAGCAGCCCCTTGGACGGCGACCGGCGGTGGAAGCATTGAAACGCCGGCTCCTTGTCGGCGGCTGCCCTTTCTCCGTCCGCGGCCACCCGCTTTGTGGCGGCAGCGGACGTCTCGACTGACAGTGGTCAGTCGGCTGCCTCCGGGTATCGCGTCTAAGGGATTTTATTCCTCCTGCATGCTCCTGCTGCTTGTTGCTTGATTGCTTGACCCTTAGGCTGCTTGTCTGCGCGGCTTCGCGCTTGGGCTGGCGCTGCCGCGTCTGGGTGCCAGCAGTGCTGGTTCTTTTCGGGCTTGTGTTTTGTGTGTGATTGTGCAGCTTCTCGCTGTGCGCTGTGTGCCTGGAGGTTTAGCTTGATCCTTTTTTTTTTTTTTTTCCTGCTTTATTTTGCTTGAGGCACTTTTTACCTTCTGCCAGTAAATCCTATGCAAGCGTATGCTCTGGCTCCATTGTACTGCTCTGACTCCTCTTGTCATGCGCGTCTCCCGCGCCTGCTTGTCTGCGCGGCTTCGCGCTTGGGCTGGCGCTGCCGCGTCTGGGTGCCAGCAGTGCTGGTTCTTCTCGGCCTTGTGTTTTGTGTGTGGAGATAGCAGTCGAGCATCTGAGCATAGCGGTGCGGGAAGGCCTTGAGGGGGTATTCGCTGATCTTCTTGCTGAAGCACAAGAGAAGTTCCCTGATGGTGCGTCGCCTGCCTTTGGAAGTGCTTCCGCGGCTCATCTCACCCAGCAAGCGCTTGCAGTACTGCAGGTGGATTTGACTGACATCCTCGACACCACTAGCCTGATCCAGGCGATCAAGCGCTACAGCTCCTTTGCGGGGACCGATGACCAAGGGTGGAGGATTCGGCAACACCTGTCACCCCTTTCTAGTCATCCTGCACTGAGCTTTGAAGCTCTACTGCCAACATATCCTCCAAGGGGTCCTTCTTGGCCGGATGCCGGATCTTCTTATTCCGCGGCCCTGTCAGCCATTCGTCGAGGAGGCAGATTTATTCCCCTCTCCAAGGGAGCTGATAAACCTGGTCTCCGGCCAATTGTCTGGCATCGGTTCTGCACACCGTCGACTCGCGACGAAGCTTGCTTTGGCAGCGATTCGCTCATTTCTTGACCAGCACTTCCTCTCGTCTCACCCTCGAGCGATTCAGTTCGGGCTCGATCGAGACGGCTGTCTGAAGTTCTCGCAAACCGCGTCAGCGCTCCTGCCCCTTCACGCTCGCGGTGATGATGAGGATGTTCACGGTTGCCAACCCCACAGTGCTGGTGAGTTTGGATGCAAAGAACGCCTTCAACTCCCTCAGGCGACCGCCAGGCTCTCTTCGATGCAATCGAGGGACGTGCGAGTCGCGACTACTTTGATGGGAGCATCACTGAAGGCGCAAGCTTGCCCTCTTGCGAGCATCTCCGTTTGTTCGCCTCCTACCTCTCCAGCTACTATGGAGACTCTGCTGACCTTCGACTCTTTCACAAAAGTCAGTCAGCCTCCGTTCAGTGTACCTCGGGCGTCTGTCAGGGCGATGTCCCCTCCAGCGTGTTTTTCTGCCACAGTATCCACCCCCTGCTCCTCCATATCGCAGAGCTTTTTCCCTCTGTTCGAGTCTTGGCCTATGCTGACAACGTCGTGCTTGTCGGTCCACTCGAGGATGCCGTTGCAGCTACGTCCGCTATGAAGAAGTACATGCCAGTGGTGGCTGATCTGAAGCTAGAGATTCAACCTCGCGAGTCGAAAGTTTACATCCCCTAAATCCTATGCCCCCTCCTGGCATCAACACCCTGATCTCTCGCAGCTGAAGAAGAGCCTTAAGCGCCGTCTCAAGACTCAACTTCTTCACTTCGAGGTCGTCACTGGCGGGATTACACTTGGCGGCCTGCCTATCGGCACGGATGGATTTCATGCTAGTCAGCTCCGAGCGAAGGTTTCTACCCTCAACGAAGAGCTCTCAAAGCTCGGGCTCGTCCAGCATGCGGCTTCATGTTCAAGACGCTGGTGAGGGCGAGCCATCTCCAGAAGCTGCGCTTCTTCCTCCAGGGGTCATCTCCGTTTCTCCCGCGGGTCCAATCACAGATTCGTCGCTTTAACCTCTCTGTCCACCTGGCGCTTGAGAAATACCACCGCTGGCCTTCCTCGCAGTACCTCGCCGCGCATCCCGACCTGCTAGAGTTTGCGAGGTTCAAGCGGGAGCTTCCGCATAGTCGGGGAGGGGATGAGTTCACGCCCTCTGAGGGTCTACACCCCGCTGTTTACTATACGGCTATCGCTCGCTTCCTCGCTTGGTACTCTGACCAGCCCATGTCCCGGACCTTGCCCTCTCCTCATAGCCTGGACGTTCACTGCTCGAGATCTCTCCGTGCCCAGAAGCATCCTCTGGCGACCTTCTTCGTTGAGGCGCACGACTTCGTTCATAATGCTGGAGCGATCCTCTACCGTCGTGTCAAGGCTCCTGCACCGGCTGCAGATGGCGCGGCGATCCCACCTGCCCCGGCTGCTGTGCCTGATGACGCAGGACGCCCCCCGGCATCTGTGGTACACATCCCTGGTTTGCGCGCTCTCGTCGACTCGTCTCATGAGCACTTCATTCCTCCCCCTGCGCAGCGAAATGTGACCCCTCTTGTCATGCGCGTCTTCCCTCGCCATGTGCATGCTCGCGCTGCGCTGACCGATCAGCAGCGTGATATCCTCACCTTGCACAGCCGCAGGACACACTCGCTCAAGTCGCAGGATAGGGTCTTGCAGTCTACCATCTTCGCTCATTTTCCTGAGCGTGACCTGAGCCACTCTCCGATGCGAGTCTCGAGCTACTACCCCCTCAAGGCCTTCCCGCACCGCTATGCTCAGATGCTCGACTGCTATCTCCATGGCATGCCGATCTGCCAGTGTCCGACGGAATGTGATGGATGTCAGCGCGAGCTCGATCCCTCCGTTGCTGCACATCATCTCCAGACCTGCAAACGCCGATCCTCCAAGCTTCCCACGGCGCATGACAACCTTACTCGTACGATTCGGTCGATGCTGAACGAAGCTGGTCTTCAGAGCGTCATCGATACAGTCGGGGATCCTCGTTCTCGACGGCAGGTACCCTCCCATCCTCATGGCCGCAAGATGAAGGGCGATATCCACATCCCTGGAATCCGCGATCGAGGGTCCGAGCAGTACGAGGGCTTGATGGCGGACGTGACGTTGGTCCACCCTTACATTGGTAGCTCTGCCGACCTGACCAAGTGGGGGGAGGTCAACCTCGACGCCCTCCATGTTGCAGCGTCTGAGAAGATTCGCAAACATCGCGCTGCATATGCCATGACTACTCCTCCTCGAGCGTTCATCCCTCTTGCCATCTCGACGGACGGTACTCTGCATCCTGACACCCTCCGCTTCATCTGGTATCTCGCGGACATCATTGCTCAGCGCTCAATGCCTCTTGAGGATGCGGCGTTTGGTCGGCACTTCGTGCCTGCCATGATGACGGACCTGCTGCTGAGAATCTTGGCTCGCAAACGCGCCGCCACCTATCAGCGCCTCACCATGCAGCTGACGCTGGAAGCGCTCTTGTCTGGTGCGAGGCGCATGACGCCCTTGCGGGCGCAAGCACTTCTCGAGCCAGAGGACAGCTCCTCCTCGGACTTTGTCGAGTCGCCCGAGGAGTCTTTGCCGGAGGTCTCCGACTCCGATGGGGGAAACCCTTCGAGTGGCGCCGACGATCGGCGCGGAGCTGGCGAGGCGTCTCCGTCCCTCACTGTGAACTGTGACGTCGGGTGCCTCCGGAGAGCTCGACACCACTGGGGTGCTTGCTGCTGGTCCGAGCTCGCCTGCTTCCTCCCCGGCATCGGTCGGGTCACGCCGGTCCTTGGGCATTGCCGCGGCGTCGCCGCCGTCACGGGCGGCTACCACTGACTCGGCTACCGCTGACTCGGAGGCTAGCGAGGAGGACTACCTCGAGCGGTACCGTGTTCCTGTGTCCAGCCTCCCTCCGTCCGCTGCCCCAGGCGGACCCCTGGGCAGCGCCGGCTCCTTGTCGGCGGCTGCCCTTTCTCCGTCCGCGGCCGCCCGCTTTGTGGCGGCAGCGGACGTCTCGACTGACAGTGGTCAGTCGGCTGCCTCCGGGTATCGCGTCTAAGGGATTTTATTCCTCCTGCATGCTCCTGCTGCTTGTTGCTTGATTGCTTGACCCTTAGGCTGCTTGTCTGCGCGGCTTCGCGCTTGGGCTGGCGCTGCCGCGTCTGGGTGCCAGCAGTGCTGGTTCTTTTCGGGCTTGTGTTTTGTGTGTGATTGTGCAGCTTCTCGCTGTGGACTGTGTGCCTGCCGGTTCAGCTTGTTCCTGCTTTATTTTGCTTGAGGCACTTTTTACCTTCTGCCAGTAAATCCTATTCCTTACATTGGTAGCTCTGCCGACCTGACCAAGTGGGGGGAGGTCAACCTCGACGCCCTCCATGTTGCAGCGTCTGAGAAGATTCGCAAACATCGCGCTGCATATGCCATGACTACTCCTCCTCGAGCGTCCCTCTTACCATTTCTCGACGGACGGTACCCTGCATCCTGACACCCATTGCTTGACCCTTAGGCTGCTTGTCTGCGCGGCTTCGCGCTTGGGCTGGCGATGCCGCGTCTGGGTGCCAGCAGTGCTGGTTCTTTTCGGGCTTGTGTTTTGTGTGTGTTTGTGCAGCTTCTCGCTGTGGACTGTGTACCTGCCGGTCCAGCTTGTTCCTGCTTTGTTTTTCTTGAGGCACTTTTTATCTTCTGCCAGTAAATCCTATATCCCTCCGCTTCATCTGGTATCTCGCGGACATCATTGCTCAGCGCTCAATGCTTCTGCCAGTAAATCCTATACCAGTTCTTGAGGATGCGGCGTTTGGTCGGCACTTCGTGCCTGATGACGGCCCTGCTGCTGAGGTCTTGGCTCGCAAACGCGCCGCCACCTATCAGCGCCTCACCATGCAGCTGACGCTGGAAGCGCTCTTGTCTGGTGCGAGGCGCATGACGCCCTTGCGGGCGCAAGCACTTCTCGAGCCAGAGGACAGCTCCTCCTCGGACTTTGTCGAGTCGCCCGAGGAGTCTTCGCCGGAGGTCTCCGACTCCGATGGGGGACACCCTTCGAGTTCGGAGCTGGCGAGGCGTCTCCGTCCCTCACTGTGACGTCGGGTGCCTCCGGAGAGCTCGACACCACTGGGGTGCTTGCTGCTGGTCCGAGCTCGCCTGCTTCCTCCCCGGCATCGGTCGGGTCACGCCGGTCCTTGGGCATTGCCGCGGCGTCGCCGCCGTCACGGGCGGCTACCACTGACTCGGCTACCGCTGACTCGGAGGCTAGCGAGGAGGACTACCTCGAGCGGTACCGTGTTCATGTGTCCAGCCTCCCTCCGTCCGCTGCCCCAGGCGGACCCCCGGGCAGCGCCGGCTCCTTGTCGGCGGCTGCCCTTTCTCCGTCCGCGGCCGCCCGCTTTGTGGCGGCAGCGGACGTCTCGACTGACAGTGGTCAGTCGGCTGCCTCCGGGTATCGCGTCTAAGGGATGTTATTCCTCCTGCGTGCTCCTGCTGCTTGTTGCTTGATTGCTTGACCCTTAGGCTGCTTGTCTGCGCGGCTTCTCGCTTGGGCTGGCGATGCCGCGTCTGGGTGCCAGCAGTGCTGGTTCTTTTCGGGCTTGTGTTTTGTGTGTGTTTGTGCAGCTTCTCGCTGTGGACTGTGTACCTGCCGGTTCAGCTTGTTCCTGCTTTATTTTGCTTGAGGCACTTTTTACCTTCTACCAGTAAATCCTATGCTCCCGCACCGCTATGCTCAGATGCTCGACTGCTATGTGCATGCTCGCGCTGCGCTGACCGATCAGCAGCGTGATATCCTCACCTTGCACAGCCGCAGGACACACTCGCTCAAGTCGCAGGCTGAACGAAGCTGGTCTTCAGAGCGTCATCGACATCCTCAGTCTCGACGGCAGGTACCCTCCCATCCCATCCTCATGGCCGCAAAAAGAACAAAAATGGATTTACTGGCAGAAGGTAAAAAGTGCCTCAAGCAAAACAAAGCAGGAACAAGCTAAACCTGACATAGGATTTACTGGCAGAAGGTAAAAAGTGCCTCCTGCCGGTTCAGCTTGTTCCTGCTTTGTTTGCT